AATTAAAACCACAATAAAATATCATTCATTACATACCTATTAGAATGATTGAAATTAAAAATTGTAACAATTTTAAGTATCCAGGATGTAGAACAACTGGAAACTTCTGTTGGACATGCAAAATGGAAAGCCACTCTGGAAAATAGTTTGACAGTTTTAATTAATTATTTGTAGAACAACTGGAAACTTCTGTTGGACATGCAAAATGGAAAGCCACTCTGGAAAATAGTTTGACAGTTTTATAATTAATTATTATTATTATTATTATTATTATTTGTACCAGGGATCAAACTCGGGTCCTTGTGCTTGTGAGTCAGGCAGCAGAACCACTGAGCTAAATCCCTGGCCCTTCTTTTAATTAATTCGTAACATACACTTACCATATAACCTAGAAATCTCACTCCTACTTATTTACTCCAGATAAATAAGAACTTAGGTTTACACAAAAATCTGTACATGAAAGTTTATGGCAATTCTATTCATAATGGCCAAAAGCTGGAAAAAAAAAATCCGATGTCTTTCAATAGGTAAATAGATAAAAAAACTGACTGTATACTCATATAGTGAAATACAATCTATTAATAAATAAAAGCAATGAACTAATAATACCTGCAACAACATGGATACAGCTAAAAAACATTATGTTATGTGAAATCATAAAATTGTATGATTCCATTTATATGACATCCTGGAAAAGAGAAAATCACAGTGACAGAGAAGAGAGCAGCAGCTGCCAGGGATCAGGGGTGGGGTAAAATGGGACTATAAAGGGACAGCGGAAGGGAGATTTGGGGAGGAGAGGAGGAAACTGTTTCCTGATTATGGTGGCCATTATATGAATCTATTCACATGCTAATATTCATAGATCCGTACACCAAATCAGGGTCAATTCTATAGTACGTCGAACAGTAAAACAAAGTTATAAAGGAATGTGTACTCACAAACTGAAACGACTAGGAAAGGAACATTCCATGAGACAGGAGAGAGGACAGATACCTTGCCTTGGTGGGGTTGGTGGGTGTCAAGAATGTTTAAGGAAGTGATGTTGGGGTTGAGTTCTAAAGAAAGTTTTAGAATTTTCTTGGGCCAAAGATAAGTAGATTTCAGGCAGAATTTGCATGTACAAAGTCCCTGGGGCAGGAGGAAGATGGTTCACAGAGTGCCCTGGAGGGGTGGGTTAAGCGAAGGTAAGTAAGGAGGCAGCTCTAGGCAGGCCTAGGCTTCAGGGTGCTGGGGTGCGATTGTGGACTAGCCCTGGGTCTTAACTGTGGGACACCTCTGCGGGGAAGGTCTTGAAATAATTGACTGGAGTGAAAGTCCCACCGCAGGCAGAGAGCAAGGAGCACCTGAGGTTGGGTTCTCAGTCCTGCCAGCAGGAGATGGCCTGATGGGGGGGGGAGCAGATTCTGCACTGGTCCAGACACCACTCAGAGCCGCACTGACAGTACTCCTGGCTAAGCGGAATGCTGAATGCTCCCTATGCTCCCATTAAGTGCTCTGAAGGGCTCAGGACTTCCTGAGACAGGAGGCTGCAGCTTCTACTGTCACTCCACAGGACTCCAGTGACAATAATCAGGTATTTTCCTTTTAAGCAACAAGTATCCAAGCCTCACCCTGACCCATCTCACTCTTCCTCAGGTTCACATGAACCCATGAGTTGCCTGGACAACAGAGTGAGGCTTCATCTTTAAAACAAAACAAAACCCAAACCAAACCAAAAAACTAGGCACGGCTAGAAAATGGCATGGCCAAGATTTGGATGGAGGACGCCCAACTTCAGTGTCCAGGAGCAATCATTGATTCCTGAACTTTAAGTGTTTTGAGTCACTAGCCGGAAATTCACCAAAAAATGCAGATTCCTGGCCCCACCAAGGAGCGCCAGATTCCCTGGGCCTGGGTCGAGGCCAAGGAATCTGCATTGAACACACTACAAATAAATAAACCAGGTGACCAGAGGCTCCACTCTGCTTGACTTCCCCTTCTGTAAACCTAGGGAACTTGAGGTTGCTCCAGGGTCTCAGGTAGCAAAGCTTGGTGTGGGCAGGTCCCAATCAGAAGAATGTGGGGGATTTTGCAAATGACCCGGAACCCGGAGGACGTGCAACACCGCAGGGCTCCAGGGGAGG